TGAGACTGATAAGACGCCCAGAAATGGACATCTCCACCAGGTTGTGGAAGACTGGCCCCAACTCACATTCCAAGGGTCGCTTAGCGACTAAAGTGGCCATCCACGCCTCAACACGGGCACAATGTTCGCGCGGCGTATGAAGAGGCGGCGAGAGGGTTGGCGTCGGAGGAGACAGCCGTCTCTTTTTGTTGCCCCAGCGCTGCAACATGGCAGTGAGGGAGTCCTGCAAACTAGCAGTCTGAGCCAGTATGTCAAAAAGGCAACGAGCTCGCAGGCAGCAACCCCATATAATGCAATCAAATTACCATGACGCTGCAAGCTGGATGTCCAGCACCACATGAATTTGCAGGGGTGGAGTGAAATGCTCCAACTAGCAACATGTCGTGACGGTGTTACGCCCTTCGTCCCCGGCCCGGCAGGGTTCTTGCATCGAATGGCCGCATGCCAGGTAACTCATGTAGCAACTCCCTAGCAAAACCGCGACCGCAAGGCCGAATGGCCCGGGTATAGTTACACGGGCCACGACGTTAACCTCAGCAGGCCAGCGAGCAAGGCAGGCTCGGCGTGACTGTAAGAGGCGGGCCACACCGGCGCAGTTCACGTGTGCGTGCACCCGAACAAGGGCTGCACGCCAACTGTGGCATAGAGCCTCGACCCCGTTCGCAAACAGGCCTGCCCAGGCAAAAAGGCGACCGCAAGGCCGAATGGCCCGGGTATAATCCCTGAACTTCCCACAGAAGAAGACCCTGAGATGACGGCAGTCGACAAGCGACCACCGCGTGGACCGCGGCGAGTCGCCAGGCGGCCCATCACCAAGGTCTGGAGCGTGTGCTGCCCGACCCGCGCGCCTGCCGAGAAGCGGCCGCGGCGTGGCAGGCCCAGTACTGTCGAAACTCATTGAGACGTTCGTCGTTTAAACCATACAAGAAGGGCCAATTCCGGCGCTCGAGGTGCCCTGCCAGTTGCGGTTTGGTAAAAACCAGCGGCTTCTGGAGTTTATGGTACTTGGGTACTAACTTATATCCCAGAAAGGGATACCGAAGGCCTTCAGCGAGGCCACCCTGCTCCCGGAACTCCCTTGCTGCCTCCGCCCAGTCCTCAAAGGAGAGGTTTTCCTCGAGGACATAAGGCTCGAAGACCCGCGTCCTATTCGGCCCTAGGCTCGCAAAGTCTCGCCGTACGATTTCGGCATGTAGGTTCTCCAGCCTGTATGTGCCAAGCAAGTAAAGATGCTCGGGATACCAGAGAGCGATCCGCCGCGGCCCAGGCAGCCACACCGAAAGAGCGCCCCGCACGTCGTAGCCCTCAAGCTGCCATGGCTCCATTGCCGGACCCGCGCCAAGGCACCTGCCAGTAGTCCTGCTGGCTGAAGGGGTAATTGCGTCGCCGGGCGCAACCGCAGCGATTCAGCCGCGAGAGGTATATAGATTCGGAACCTGCCCTTGTACTGCGGGGGGTGAGTAAAATTGGCGGGATGGAGAACGGGATGATGGAGCGCGACCACCCCCCTCTCGAAAGACTGGCGGAGCCGTCGGCCCACTTCCCATTGTAGAGGGCAGATTTCCCCAGCCTCGAAAGACACAGAAATACGAACACCGATATGGTCGTCCCGGTTCTCATCAGCGGCTCTGCGGTCTGTGTCCTTGAAGACCTCAAGAATTTGCAGACGCGGATAAGCCGCCGGGTTATCCACAAGGCGCCGGAGCACATATATCAGCACCTGCATGGGCATCAGGGCTCCGCAATACTGCAAAGGAGAGGCGTGCCGCTCTGGCCCTCCGAGCGCCATGACGAAAAAGCTGCCATCTCGCGCCAGCGGTGCGGTTTGACTGGCTTCCGCCGCGTGCTGCAAATGAGCGACGATCTCGTCTACAAGCAGCCACCACCAAACTTGTGGTCGTGCGAGCTCTGGCCAGGACAGGTCAAAGGCCTTGTCCTCAGGGAGCTGTTGCAAGGGTTCGCAAAGCTCGGCCAGCGCAGCCGAAATAGCGATCAGCGGGCTAGCGCAAATCCGCCAAGCTTCCTGCTCAGTGCAGCACCGTAGTCGCATTGCTCTATCCGCAGAGTCCCCAATATCGGAGCCGAACTGATCAACGTTGACGCGAAGTGATCCTGTTTTCAGGGACATTGGTAAGGACAGCAGCGTCATGCAATCCAACGCAGAGGGCAGAATGCTGCGGAGATGTGTAACATGCGCCAAAGGCGATGTTGGGGGCGGCGGAGAAGCTTGCACTTGCTCCCTCCAAACCTGCAGGATTTCTCGTTGTACAGTAAGGGTAGAGTCGTCATCAGTGGGCGCAGTGTTGCTAGCTAGCCAAGCCTTTGAGGGTTGGGCGGTGAAGTGTTGGCTGAACATCCAGGGCCGACATGAGCGCCTGCAAGTCATCCTCCCACCGCGTCGGTACAAAGACACGGTCACACCCTGCGCTGTAGAGTTCGTCAGCGAAAGTAGGGTCCTCCTTTACGCCGGCTCCGCTACTTGTAGGGCGTCCTACCGTCGCTCGTCCATTCACGCCGTCATAGCCAGCCCCGGCCATTCCTGTCGAGAGGGTTCCTAATTCACCGAAAACGAATGATTCGGCATCGTTCACATACACAACATATGCAGC